GTAGTTCATACGTGTTTCTTGTTTCTCGTTTTTATATAGATTAGACCGTTGGTTTTCCCGTTTGAATGGTTTTACACTAGTAATTTTTGGGGCCCTTTATAGCTTGCTGTTCGGTGTGAGCCAATGCTCCGTGTTGAAGGCCGTACCTTGACCTATAATGGCTTACTTTTATAAATTGTTACTTGAATGGAGAGTTGTCTCATTGGCACTCATACCACATCTTCCTATATCTAATTATGGATATCGAATCGAGAAGTATTTCATATTAATTTCATAATAGCTAACATGATATTTTAATTTGTATATTTATTTTGAAAAACACAACATATAATGTCATTGTCATTAATGCACCATTTACCAACTGATATGAAGAAGTTACGTCACATAATAACTTGGGTTTTTTTTCGTTATAGCATGTTTCACATGATAATGATTACAAAACAACTCATAAAATATAAAATTATAACTTGTTTCTTTTATCTATACTGTGGAATTTGAAAATTAAAATCACAATCAACAACTAGATAAGGTGTTTTTATTGTTCACGATAGTATTGATTGTTGAAAATCGTAAATAATTGAAATTCATGTCAAGGACACTTCCATGGTATGACAGTTTCTGTTTCCTTGTCCAGAAAGTAGTAAATATTACACGACAGTCTCTTTTTTTTAATTTAGAATAAAAATGTATTTGTGAAGAATTCATAAACACTTCAAAAATAGAAAATATATGGATAGTTTTATGTATTAAAAAATACTCAGAATTACAGTAGTTTATTTTTGAATTGATTTTAACAGAATGAAGATGACGGACATACATATGATTTCACTTCCATTGTCCCTATAAAAAATCTTTTCGATTTTCAAAGGATTTTCTCAACTATATCATAAAAAACTACGAGTAAGATGACGCAAAATAAAGTAAAACATAATGTTGGTTTCATTCAAACGTTTATATAAAATACGCTTGCAGATTTATGAGGTAAATAATTGCCATGTTTCAATGTGTCCTCCATGGCGATGATGATGTCGGGAATGACATAATTTGTAATATTCTTTTCATATATCACATTCGCCATTGTAAAATTTAGAAATTATTAACACAGTAAGGTTCTAAGTCCCTTGGGCAATGTCTACTAAAGGTGAATTTTAAATTACCTATTCTTCTTTTGGTGATATATCCCCGCTTTACAATTGTTTTCTACAATCTTGGCTTTCGAATATTTTTAACATTTCTTACTCGAACCTTGGCAGTGTCTGGCGTTTCTTGCGGTGGTTAAAACAGAAAATTGCTACGGATGCATTAAAGCAATCATTTTTAATTGCTAGTCCGAGGTCAATAACGATGCCGGTGTAATGCTAATCCCAGAGGATATCATCAGTTTAGTAGTCAGTGCTTCAGTACTGACATTATTTGTATCTTACCTTTCTTAAGTTATCCGTGAACATTAAAAACTACCAAGAAACTAAGGTTCCAACCCTCAGGCAAAGGTGACCATAGGTGAATTTAGCTATTCTTGATCACTCTCTTTTGGTTCAATATAGATATAGGAAGATGTGGTATGAGATCCAATGAGACAACTCTCCATCCAAGTTACAATTTATAAATGTAAACCATTATAGGTCAAGGTACAGCCTTCAACACAGAGCATTGGCTCACACCGAACAGCAAGCTATAAAGGGCCCCAAAAAATTACTACTGTAAAACCATTCAAACGGAATCACAAAAATTATTCAAATATTCATACATCATTGGCTTTTAGTTTTTGGCTCGAGACTTACTGTTAAATTTTTCACAACTGTGATTCAATTTATTCCTGTAAGATTTAGATATCTTGATGCTATTAAACTCAAGTGTTACGAAATTATTGCGGTGATTTCAAAACCGCATCCAAATTTTGGGAAATTGTACGTGGAAGTGATAAGGTCTTGACTATTGATGTCATAGTTTTTTACTGATAATTTAAATAATTTCAAGACAGATGTTCATCTCCACTTGACCTTATTTCCTTGGTTCATTGGTTCATGTTAAGTTGTGTTTTTTTCTGTTTTTAAAGTACTATAAGCAATAGGTGAGCTATATTTGGTGTATGGAATGAGTGTAAGGTGTACATGTCTGTCTAGCGGGTATCATCTGACCTTGACCTCGTTTTCATGGTGCATTGGTCGATGTTAAGTTTTTGTGTTCTGTTCTGTTTTTCAAATACCAATACCAATATCAATAGGTACCGTGGAATGCGGTCAAGGTCAGGTGAACGCTATGTGACAGACACGAAGACATTGCAAGAAACCCATTTACCAAATATAGTTATCTTATTACTCATAATAAGTTAGATATTCACATGAAAAAACAAGCAGTCACTGAACCATGAAAATGAGACTAAGGACAATGGACATACTTCAGGCGGAAACTTCGTAACTAAAGTTATACAAGCTAAGAAGCATCCAAGTCTTCTACCTTCTGAAATATAAAACTTTATACAAATACTTGACTACGCCGCCGCCGCCGGCGGACAGTAATCAACAGTCCATGTTAAGCATTCGAGTTCTGCGATGGAGTAAACAAGTTCATATTATTTCAAACGGTTGCTATTTATCATCGGTATGTTTTTTTCTTTATTTTGTGTATATACTTAAATTTATATATTTAATTATCTATTTGATTGTTGTACAGTACTACCTAATAGTTTGTTTGATTTGACAGTGAGTTGCAAGCTTCATTTGCTTCATGTTGAAAGCCTCAATATGAAATGCTGTTTCTTAACTTGCTTAGGTTTTGTTTTATCTCTTTAGATAAGTTGATTAAGAATTGAATGCTTCTTTTTTGTAAATTTATTGATGTGTAAAAGCGTACACTGAAGTACTAAACACGATTTCCATCAAGTTTTTATTTTATTTACAAGTGCACTTTATTGTGGAAGCTGGTGTCATCATGAATGTTACATTTCATTTTGAAATAAAGTTTAATTTCAGGTTACTATTAGCCAATCAAAATAACGTATTATAATGAAACATATATGTAATGTAGTCATTGAATAATAAGTTTTAAATAAACTATATGCCCGTTTCATTTAGTTAATGAATGATAAGTATCAAATAAATCTTCACTTTAAAAATCATTCATTATAAAGCACCGTAATATTGATTTCTCTACTACGTGTACTAGTGATTTTTTTTTATAGCGGAGGCTTTTTGTAAGAAAGATCATTCATTTATGATTTAAGCACATATTTACATAAATTGCATAGAATGTTCCATTTCTATTTCATCATTGCAGGCCAAAAGTATGATAAATTCGAAATAATATTTTTATTCATTTATGAAAACATCCGTTTTTATTGTATCGCCTGCGACGAAAATCGCAGTATGCAAGACATAGGGATTACTATACGGCTGGCGGCGGCATAAACTATTTGTATAAAGTTTTATATTTCAGATGAAAGAAGACCTGGATGCTTCATACCTTGTAAGCATATATGCTGGTTCCTTATGTTACGAAGTTTCTAATGTCGTAACTACAATCCCGCCCCCTTTTCTCGAATGTGACCTATCGAATTAGACTTATTACCGGATTTGTACTAACATGAGCAACACGACGCGTGTCTCGTGTGGAGCAGGATCTGCTTACCCTTCCGGAACACCTGAGATCACCCCCAGTTTTTGGTGGGGTTCGTGTTGCTCAGTCTTTAGTTTTCTATGTTGTGTTTTGTGTACTATTGTTTGTCTGTTTGTCTTTTTCTTTTTTAGCCATGGTGTTGTCAGTTTATTTTCGACTTATGAGTTTGAATGTCCCTTTGATATCTTTCGCCCCTTTTTTTCTGAGTCTAATATTTCCATTGTCCTTGACCTAATTTTAATGGTTCCGTTTCTCCTTGAAAAAAAATTATAATTTCTCAATTATTTGTAAGCAAAATGATAACTATACTTAGTATATTGTTCCTTGCAATGTATACATGTCTGCCAAACAGGGATCATCTGACTTCGACCTCAATTGATGGACCAGTGATCAAGGTTAACGTTACGTGATTAGGTCCATTCCTCAGATACTACAAGCAGTCGGTCAACAATTTATAGTGTATGGAAAAAAGTAAAATAACAAAAATACCGAACTCCGAGAAAAATTCAAAACGGAAAGTCCATAATCAAATGGCGAAATCAAAAGCTCAAACACATCAAACGAATGGATGTATGGAATGATTGTAAGGTATAGATGTCAGTCTGGAAGTTTCATTTTACCTTGACCTCATTTTCATGGTTCATTGATAAATGTTCAGTTTTTGTGTTTTGGTCTATTTTTCAAATATAAATAACAATAGGTAATCTATGTTTGGTGTATGGAATGGTTATAAGGTGAACATCTCTGTCTAGCAGGCATCATCTGACCTTGACCTTATTTTCATGGTTCATTGGTCAATGTTATTTTTTGTGTATGGTGTACATGTCTGTCTATCAGGTATCATCTGACCTTGACATCGTTTTCATGGTACTTTGGTCAATGTTAAGTTTATTTGTTTTGATCTGTTTTTTTCAAATACCAATATCAATTGGTCAGCTATATGTGATGTATGGAATGATTGAAAGAGGTACATGTCTGTCTGGCAGGTAATATCTGACCTTTGCCTCATTTTCATGGTTCACTGGTCAATGTTGTGTTTTGTATTTTGGTCTGTTTTTCAATTAAATAAGCAATAGGTCAACTGTATTTGGTGTATGGAATAATTGTAAGATGTGCATGTCTGTCAGACAGGATTTTTCTGACCTTGATCTCATTGTCGTGGATCTTTAAAAAATGTTAAGTTTGTGTACATGTACTTGTAGTAAAACCTTCATCTTTAAGCCTTCAACATAAAGGCAATGGTCAGTAAAGCAGCCGAGACATTTCAGTGTGTGCACTCTTGTTGAAATACTTATACAAAAAAGAACTTCCAAATGCTCGATCAATTAAAACAAGTAGTTGATGAAGAATATTCAAGAATATAAATGGACACGTAATAAAGAAACTCTTTCTGAAGTTTTTTTAATGTATTTCCAGATTTCAAAATCACAAAAATTAAATAAAAAGATTAAACACCCAAAACATCTCAATTTCAAATAACTCAGTAACGAAACCACAGTCTTATTGATGTCTGTGTACTAAAAACCTTATGACCGGTTTAAATCTTCTTGTGAATTTCTGTCGTAAAATATTCTGGAAACTTAGTTTTGTCTCCATACATAAAATGTTTATGCATTTCTGGGGCATATTTTTTTGCTCCAAATTCTTTTCCATAAACATCAGCTATAATACGAAGATAATTTGAAGTTCCACCACAACAAAGACCAATATATTTTACACCAAGCTTCTTCATTTCTTTAGCAAACTCCTCTATTTCGTATCTAGTTGATTGACAAGACATGAGGTTAAGTGGAAAAGCCTTTACATCTAAAATATAAATGTTAAACAACCGTTGTATCATACATTCAATTTTACCATTTGAATACAATTATTTTATCGATCTTTTTATTTATTTTTTAACTGATATTGATTTAATTTAACTCCAGGAATTAATTCTGTATGAGATTTTTTCATAAATCAAAATGTTAAATAAAATCAAAGCACTGTGATCGTTTTTATGTATTTTGGCGGCCATTTCGCAAATTGTGGCCGACCGATAATTGTTTATATGTTTTTCATACCACAATTTTGACAACAGAAACCACTTTGGCATACCACTTATTAAACTCGTCCGGCGTACCATATAATGAGTAACTTTTCTCAAAACATCAATTTTTGTCGAAAGCCTATTTATTTTTATTAGATTATAATCTGATGCAGGGAGTTAATTTTGAATAACTTATTGTACATATATACACATATCAATTGTCGTTAAAATCTGAACAAAAGCAGATGTTTCTCAAAATTTGTGATTTTTCAACAAAATAAGGTTTTCAGCACCACCCCTTCTTTTTCTCAAAAATCAACTTTTTACACCTGGAATCAATATTGAATAGCATTTATACCTATTTATCAATTTCTGTTGAAATCTTTGCGAAAACAAATTTCTTAAAATTTGCGATCTAGAAAACTAGTCTTTTACCACAAATTTAGTTTTCAAGTTTCACCAAAATAAAAAAAAATCTTCCTTTATAAACACAGTATATGAAAATATGGAAATCGATAAAGGTAATTTTAACTTATAACACAAAAAAGAATTGCTAACGGAAGGACAGACAGGCATATTAATTACTATCGCCAACTAGTCGGTAGGGCTCTTGTTAGTAATCGTTATGTTTCGACATACAAAATAACCATTAAATTACCTGTTCCTGGTACTGTTAGAGAGAAAAATGATGGTTGCTCTGTTGTTGTTCTGTAGGTTACTGGTAAACAGGCAATTGGTCCCTGATATAATAATATAACAAATGAAAACAGCACGTTATTAACTTCATGGGTCCGAAGCGTTTTCATGGATTAACCTTCATCTGGAAATCTCAAAGCCGAATATTTGAAAGCCAAGGATGTATAAGAACCAAAACAGCTGAAGAGCTTTATAACCAAAAGGTACCTAAAACATAGCCAAATTCATCTAAGGCCAACTTTATCATCCTTAAAGTCTACTGGTTATTTTGTTACCATGTTTTTGAATCAGGTTATAATTTAGTAGATTCTATTTGATTTGCAATAACATTGTATGGTCAGGACTGGCTATTTCATTCTTTGCTGCTATTTTCACATTAACAACTGGGTTTAAATTTCAGATACGATGATACTAGGGTTGACGTCTTTCTCAAATTAATTTTGTATGTTGTATGAATGTGATGTATGTTTACAGTTTTGGCTGCTGGATCCCAACTTTTGTCACATTAGCCAATTACGTTTGTTTGGGTTGCACACCCTCTTTGTCAATATAACGAAACTATAAAATACTGGCATACCAGTGGAAGGCTAAGCTAACTATTAAACCAGGTTTAAACCACCATTTTCTTCGGAATATGTCTGAACCAAGTCAGGAATATGACAGTTGTGTTCCATTTGTTCCGTTGGTTGATTTTGTCGGTTTTATGAACTTTCCCCTTTTTGAGTTCGGTATTTTTGTTAATATTTTTTTTATATAGTATTTCTGTTATTTTAATATGATGTTTGTACCGTAAATCATTCGTTATTTATTCTTTTTCTTAAAACATTGAAAATAAATTGAAAATGATTCAGACAAATTCACATAGCTAAACATCTAGATTTATAGACAGTTTACTTAAGTGACGATCTACACATAATATGGGAAGTGCATTTATTATCTTTTCTCGTTTAAATCCCTTACCTTGCATTTTTCTCGCACTTCTTTTATGACTTCAACTATCGTGGTGGGACCTCGTCCACAATTCAGCCCTACAATATCTGCACCTGCATCTTCCAATTTGCGTGCAGCTTCTCCAATAGGAATATTATCAACAGTATACATTGTTTTCACAGGTTGTAAAGTTATTACGGCAGGTAAACCTTTAATATTCAAAAGCGAAATATAAAAAGACACTGCAAAGAATTATAGAAATAATACGACAATAGTTATATCCATACATTTTATGAAATGTTTAAAAGGCGGATTGTATGCCGGTACTTGTATACAAACAAATGTATATACAATGTATATAACAATTGATATGACAATGAGCATTTTGCATTAATTTCAACTCCGGTTTGAATTCCAATATTTTACCGCTTAATACACAACGATTCCATGAAAGCAGTTTAAGCAGTTACTCTTGCAGTTAATTTATTTCAAATACCCTCCCTTTCAATGTTTACGATTTGCATATTTATATGTCGTTGATCATTCCTATGTGTTCTTGTCCCGTTCTTTGCTTTTGTTGGGTTTTCATAATTTATTATACGATATATTCTGATATTAAAACATAAAACATATAAAAGAGGTACGAATGATACCAGAGGGACTGTCAAACTCATAGAGCGAAAACAAACTGACAACGCCATGGCCAAAATAAAAAGACAAACAGACAGATAATAGTACAGATGACACAACATAGAAAACTAAAGACTAAGCAACACGAACCCCACCAAAAACTGGGAGTGATCTCAGCTGTTAGCTATAATTGCTCACTTATGATATGAAACCAAGTTATGATTTACAGGTACAGTATATCAAACTCACATGAAGCTTACTTATGAGAACAGGATCTGCTTACCCTTTCGGAGCACCTGATACACATGTATCACCCCCGCTTTTTTGTTAGGTTCGTTTTGTTCAGTCTTTGGTTTTGCCTTTGTTGTGTTTTGTGTTACAGTGTACGGTTTGTCTTTTCGTCGTTTTTCGTTGTTTTGCCTTTGCATTGTCAGTTTTTTTTTCGACTTACGAGTTTAAATATCTCTTTTGTATCTTCCTCCTCTATTTTACTAACAAATTGCAGGAAGATTTGTACTTCTTGAGGAAAATGAGACGAAAACATCATGGGACGGACGAATATGGGTAATAACCACTGAATTACAGACTCCTGACCTGGGACAGAAACACACATAATTTGGCGGGGTTAAACATGTTTAGAGGCGCCTCCCTAACCTGGGACAGTAATGTAACAGCATAACACAAAAACAAACTATAAAAAAGTGGAGAAGGGCTTAATTCATCAGATCGATACAAAGCAATAAAACAACTAACAAATATAGTTAAGACACAAAGGAAAATCTGAGAGTGCTTGAAGTTACTGAATGAAATTGAGAATGAAAACGGAGAATGCGTCAAAGAGACAACAACCCGACAGAAGAGCAGAAACCAGCCCATAGCCACCAATGGGTCTTCAACACAGCGAGAAGATCCCGTACCCGGAGGTTGGCTCTAGCTGACCACTTAACAATAGTGTATACTAGTTCTGCGAAAAAGCACGGCACACATATAAATGAACCAAAATAATAAAAAAAAACATACAAGACTAACAAAGGCCAGAGGTTCCTGACTTGGAACAGGCGCAAAAATGCGGCGGGGTTAAACGTGTTTTGTGAGATTTCAACCCTCCCCTAATACCTCTAACTGATGTGGAATGAAAAAAAAAACACACAGCAATACGCACAGTAAAATTCAGTTTAAAAGAAGTCCGAGTCCGATGTTAGAATTGGTAACAGAAGAAACTAGAATGACAATAATCAACATAAATTAACAAAGGACTACTAACAGTTACTGACAGATAGTTTAAAACCAATAACAACTAATAAACAAACCATGTATCTAAGACTAAAAGCTTACTTTTTGGAAAGGGAAATCATATACATAAAATTGAGGATGGAAATGGGGAATGTGTCAAAGAGACAACAACCCGACCATAGAGCAGACAACAGCCGAAGGCCACCAATGGGTCTTCAATGCAGCGAGAACTCCCGCACCCGGAGGCGTCCTTCAGCTGGCCCCTAAACAAATATGTATACTAGTTCAGTGATAATGGACGTCATACTAAACTCCAATTTATACACAAGAAACTAAAATTAAGAATGATACAAGACTAACAAAGGCCAGAGGCTCCTGACTTGGGACAGGCGCAAAAAAAGCGGCGGGGTTAAACATGTGTTTTGAGATCTCAACCCTCCCCCTATACCTCTAGCCAATGTAGAAAAAACAAACGCACAACAGTATACACAGTAAAACTCAGTTTAAGAGAAGTCCGAGTCCGATGTCAGAATAGGAAACAAAAGAAAATAAACAAATTGATATTAATACATTAATAACAACAGACTACTAGCAGTTACTGACATGCCAGCTCCAGACCTCAATTAAACTGATTGAAAGAGTATGTCTTCATCATATGAATATCAGGCACAATCCCTCCTGTTAGGGGTTTAGTATTATACAATCATAAAATATATGAGAAGAACATAACCCGTGTCATGCCAACAACTGGTTTTAGAATAAATATGTTTATTTCCGATGCAAAGACCCTATAAGTGAATCAATATTAAAGCCAAAATATGCAATCTTTAATGACCTGACAACAGTATCGTAACTATATTCCTTCTTAATAAGTCTGTTTAAAGGTTTTGTTAGCTTTTGAGGTGAATACCGTCATTTTTGTGCTTTGTAAAGTATATTACCATAAAAGATTGGATGTGAAATACCCGAACGTATAAGATGTCTGCATGTTGAGTTATATTTACGAATGATATCCTTATACCGATGATAAAATTTAGTAAATGTTTTGACTAGTTTATGATATCGAAAACCCTGGTGTAATAATTTTTCCGTAATACATAAATTTCTCTCGCTAAAATCTAATACGTTGTTACATACTCGAGCGAATCGTACAATTTGAGATATATAAACAACATAAGATGGTGACAAGGGAACGTCACCATCTAAAAATGGATAATTAACGATAGGAAATGAAAAATTATGCTTGCAAACTATAAGTTCTCTTGAAATAGAGAATGGAGTTATAGTCTGATGCTTTGGTACCCAAATCGCACAACATGTGTAGACTTTTGATATACGTTAGGAAAACTTATACATGCACTAAAATCGGATTTTGATGAACTCATTCAACTTAGATTATCTAGATTTTTACATATAACTGTTTATTATGTATAAATTGCTTGTTTGTGTTGTTTATTTCAAGTTGTTCATTTCAATAACAAAAATAATTGAAATTTAAATTCAGTCGGTTTCGTCGCAATAATAAGTCCATAAAACTACGAAATCAAAGCATTTTAAATAATTTACTAAAATTTTGCTGATAAAAATTCAATATTCAATAAATATACCATTTCCATACTGTTTGATGGTTTCGAGACAGAGCATGGCCTCTCCAAAGCTCGAGAACGTTTCTCCAACTATAAAATCCGCATGTCCCTTCACCGCCCATTCAACTTGCTCCTATTTTATAATGTTTATACATTAATTTGATATGCAATATATCAATATATCAAAAATTTTATTAAGGTAACTATTGTTGTGATTGAAATAGAAATCACATTTCTTTATTTAATCATTGGCATGTGTTCATTTGGTTTGTAATAATATTCGTGTGTGTCATTAAAAATTGTGTATTCGTAACGGACCTCTACTCTATCCCATAATAAAGGAATCGCACAAACAACTCAGTTGTAATTTTCATAAAACATCCCCGCAAAGTAATTCAACATTTTAGAAGTTCGGACATCGTCTACCAAAATGTTTGCATATATTTTACAAATGAAACAATCCGTATTTTTTATCCTACACAAACAGCTCCTACGTATTTTTACATTCCTGGCTTTAAAATGTTTAGATATGAGTGTTACCGATGAAGGTTACTTCAAAAAAAGCGTTTCAGCGCACAAAATTTATTAAGTGTTATTTTCATATAATTTAATTTTGGATGTAACGCGTCTACTGATTGGCTGACGTTGTTTTGTTTATCAGCTCATAGACATAATTTTGTCATGTGACCGTGACGTCATCAACGTTTTTTCATGGTTTACTCCGGTTTAAAATGGAATTTAGAATTAAATTATAAGAAAAAACATAAAAAATGTGGTGCACACTTTAAAATAAGGGTTATTCAGTGTGCACCACATTTTGTATGTTATTTCTTCATAGACAGAAAAAATATTACAGTCATTCCTTAAATCGTATCAAAAATCGTAAACCATGATATAGCTGATCCTGAAATCAAACGCAGTGATATTAGTAAATATACTGCAGCTGTGCTATTTACGCAGTCAAATTGCATTTACCGTATACTCATTTAGTAAATACAGGGTGATGTGGTACTATCAAGTAAACGCAAGTGAACAAATCAAGTCACGTCACCGTACATGTATCTTTTTTTCATTCTGAAATGTTGAAATGCCCATGGAAAATGTATCAATCAAAATGAAACTATTGTACAGACACAATGCCACAAAGTCATATAAATAGGGATAACAAATATACTGTACTTTAATGTTAATTCCCATAGCAATGAAAATCCCGTGGTTGATATGTTAGAATTTTGTATTGATGCATTTGTCAAGACATAATATAGTCTTCAACTTTTTTTTTTTTTTTTTTTTTTCTTCATAATAATAATACTTTTATTAGTATTGGATATGTATAATAAGATAATCAAGTACAATTACTGTGAGATAATAATAAATAGATTCAAATGGAAATTGCATTTCACAAAAATATCTCAAATTTAATCAACATTAACAAATGCCTCCTGTTAACTATTGTCATGCATACAGCATATAGTGTTTTATGCAAAAACCATTATCATAAACTGAAAGTCAGCACAGTATTTACTGTGAACATTCAATGTTCTGTAACATTCCTCGGCCTCCAAAATTAAGCCAAAAATATCTTTGATCTTTTTAGTTGTGGAAAATATTGACCTGATCAATTTTTATCTCTTCATTTGTTATTTTTTTGTCTTGTCTGTAGATGTCATATTTCAAACCAAAAAAAAATCAAGCTAAAGAAAACAAAAATATACTTTAAAATAGTGAGAAATTGATATAAATCTTAAAATACATGCATATTAATTATAAGATGCTGAACCATAAATAGGATTCCACTATAATCTTCTGCCAAAGACTATATCATATGAATACATTACATACAGTCATCTTCTGCCATAGACTATACCATATGAATACATTACATACAGTCACAATGAACACGCGAGTCATGCTTACAAACACAAAATGTCAATTTATGTAATGGCTGATTGCTGGTAATTAATATACAAATCTTTTCTACTGTATATGTATGAAAAAAGTAACAAATTACTATAATACAAAATACCATTTCATTTTATACATATCTGGCAAAATAAACCTGTTTCTGCAATCTGACATGATGAAATAGTCAATTGTTGATATGTGTGACCAAAAAATATGTTGTTTGCAATGAAAAACAACACCAGAAAGTGGTAGGAGTTTTAAATTATCCAAGAAAAATATGGCACATTTTGAATCCTGAAACAGGACATTTTTCTAAAGTATCATAATCTGCCTAAATTTTTTTTTTTTTTATCTTTTATTTGTTTTTCAATAGTCAGGATTTAATATACATGTACCCCTTCACTACCACCTGACAAGGGTATTAAGGGGTTACATATAAAAAATAATTCAGTATACAATATATATCACTGACAAGTTGATTTTTATAATTATACATGTAGTATTTAAGGTTACATATAAATTTTATTTGATTATATTCTCTCGCTCTCTGACTTTCTCTCATACAATACAAATACTCTTCACTCATTTGCTTTGCTACAATATGTACATGATGTATCTTGACTTACATTTTAAAAACAAAATATTTTATAGAAAAAAAAAAAAAAAAATACTCAAGGCTAAATACTTGCTCATGATATATAGATATTTTATTCTCTCACTTATATGAAACAATAATTAATTAAATATTACATGTAAAGGAGACCAAAATTTTTCACACACTTGGACTCTATTATTTTTCTTTGCAATATAATATTCAAGAAATTGGTATTTCTTTATTCTAATCTTTAACCCAACCATATTTGGTTTTGTTTCATTTAATTTACATTTGTATATATAGTTTTTTGTAATTATGACTAACAGATTCAGTAATAAACTTTCATGTTTGCAACCAAGAAACACATTCTCTTTGTTAAGAACAAAGTTTACAAAAAAAAGTTTTACTGCATTTGAAAAAGACTGCCACAATTGAAAAGTTATTGGGCATTCAAAAAAAAGGTGTTCGATGGTTTCTTCACCAAGTTTACAAAAAGTACACATCTTGGAGTCTTTTAATTTAATTTTGTATAAAAAGGTATTAGTTGCTATGATTCTATGCAAAAATTTGTATTGAAAAGTTCTTAAAATAAACATCTCTACATGATTTTTTGGTTATCCTAAAATATTCTGACCATTCTGTTGTATCAATAATCAACAGTTCTTCCCATTTCGAAAACTTGACTGTTGGTAGTTCAATAACTTTATTTACTAAACTTTTATATACAAATTTGGCTTTCACATTACCTATAATTCTCTTTAAAAAAATATCACCATTATCAGGCTTATCCAAATCCTGCTTTAAACAGTTCTCTTTAAGGTATTTTTCCATAGTCTGAGGGATTCTTGAAATCAGACCATGATATTTGATAAAATTGTTGATTTTTACTCTTTCTTGAAATTGCTCAAATTTATAAAAATTCATATTTTCCTTATTAATTAGGTCACTTACTGACTGCACACCTCCTTGTTTCCATTGAATATAATATGGGAAATCATCCAAAGAAGAAAAGTTCAAAATATCTAATGATAAAATGTCACTGACAGAATTGTCAGTATTAGGTTTTGCGATAGAAAAGCATAGTAAAACATCCTTCCAGAAAGGATTTTTACATTTTTTAGAAATCTCAATCATCTTTTCTTTCTGTAGATGTAAAACCCTTTCACCCCCATACTGTATAAGGTCTGCCAGTAACAACTGCTGCCAGCCACCAACAGGGTTTGACATCAGTCTTTTTATCCAACTAATTTTTAAATGGATATTAAAGGAATGAAGATGTACCATATTAAGTCCACCTTGTGAAATATCACCAATAAGTGTGTTACGCTTAATTCTGTCTGGTTTTCCACTCCATATAAAATTATAAAATAATGAAGTGAGCTCTGTTAACCTGGATTGTGATAGGTTTGGCAATGCAGTCATTAAGTGTACCAATTTCGAAAGAGCAAGTGATTTAACTACTGTGATTTTCCCCAAATAATGTTTGTTTACGATGTTGCCAGCTCTTCAGGATTGCAGAGACTTCTTTAATCTTCTTGGCAAAATTAATTTCTGTGATACAGTTTAAATCTAAAGAAAATTCAATCCCCAAAAGTTTAAAATTTGAATGTGACCAATGAAGTTTTAAGTCTGGACAAAGAATCATATCTGAATACTTTTTGTTTCCAACCCATAGTGCTTTTGTCTTTGAAGCATTTATTTTTAAACCTGAAATTTTATAAAAAGATTCAAAACATGAAAGTGTTTCCCTCAACGATATTTCCCTTCCATCTAACATAAGGAATGTGTCATCTGCATACTGGCTTAAAAGTGATTCATTATCATTTACAGTTATTCCCCTTATTTCAGGATTATCTTTTAATTTTAAAGATAGTAATTCAACACCAATTATAAATAAATAGGGTGAAAGAGGATCTCCTTGTCTGCAGCCTCTTTCCAATTGAAAAAACTTAGAAGTATGTCCATTATTTATAACACAACTTGATGCCCCTGAGTATAAAGTTTCAAACCATTTACAAACTGAAGGCCCAAAATTAAAACTTTTTAAAGAATTTTTTAAAAATAACCATTCTAAGGAATCAAAGACCTTTTCAAAATCAACAAGTAATAAAAGACCTGTCTTATTATTTTCTTCAAGATAGTGCATTAAATCATATAAAAGGCGTGTGTTCTCACCCATAAATCTATCTTTGATGAAACCTTTTTGTGTATCACTTATGACAAATGGTAAAACTGGTTTAAGTCTATTAGCTATAACAGCAGAAGCTATTTTCATATCAGTATTCAAAAGACTAATAGGACGCCAGTTACTTATATACTGTCTGTCTTTCCCCTCCTTAGGAATGCATGTAATTACACTTTGATACTGAAAATCAGAAAATTTTCCAACCTCTTATCCAAAATGAAGAGACCGAAAGATGAAAGGACCAATATCTTTCCAAAAAAATTTATAAAAGTCTACTGTGTACCCATCAGAACCTGGACTTTTACCATTTGTCATAAATTTTAACGAATCAGCACACTCTTTAAAAGTTAAATTTCCCTCACAAAAATCTCTTTGTTTTTCTGTGAGCTTAATGTTATGATTAAAAAATGATGAATCATCACAATCTAATTTTTTGCTTGAGTATAAATTTCTATATAAATTTTGTTGTTCCGTTAGAATTTTTGATTGCTCTGATATATGTTGACCTTTATCATCTATTAGTTCTGTTATTGTTTTCTTTATAAAATTTTTCTTTTCAACTTATGGAAGCGGAGATATTTACGTTCGAAGACTATGGGTCATTTACCCGGCATAAATCTTTAAGACGATCTTAAATGTACCATTCAACTACAGTTTGATAGCTACCCATTACGCTTCACGCTTCATAGTTGTTTCTAATTTTTATCCAATTTTTCCATTTGTAGTACTGGTTAAGGACATTTGTGAAGGTTGTTGCCATCATGAACCATGTTATATGATTATTAGTTTAAAAGACATCACAACTAAAGGATGACTTGGCTAATTTTCAAATTGGTTCAAATTGTTTCAATGGTTTCAGAGAAATAAATTTTGGGAAAGTTTATGTGGAAAGCCGGACATATGCCTAGTTACAGCAAAATATCACACTGATCCTTTGAGCCTAAAAAAGTTTCAAAAATCGAGTGCGAATCTTTTGCCACGTGACTAAAGATGAGAATCTATCATACCAGACAATTAGCATGAACATCTAACGTTATATATATAATAAATTTCTCTAATTCTTCGGCAATTTATCCCTTTCTGCACCCATTGTATAAAAAAAATTTAATCAACGTGTGGTTCGTTTGATCTCAGTTCTTCATTGGTTAAAATCCGATTATGACGTCGAATTTTCTTGCTTTCCTTGAAATGTCCTATTGTGACGGCATGAAAAAAGGCGACCATGCCTGATGACGTCACAAAGAAAGAACACATCTTTTTGCAGATCATCTGTAATACGATATTTATCCACTCTCGGCAGTTAAATTTTAAATATTTAAAACGCTCGGCGAGCCTCGCGTTTTAAATTTGAAAATTTTAACTGTGTCGAGTGGATAAATATCGTATCACACTCGATGCAGTGGTAGAATCTATGTATATATATACAAGTCTAAATTAAAAACAACGTTCAAACCTATGATTGCGTTGGATAAAAACCGCAATTTTTATACGCGTGCATGCAAAACAAATTTCTTGGTAGACGGGTCTAAATACAGCACAAACAACATTTTCCAAAAGACCAAAAAAGGGAAAAAGTATATTTTAACAAAACGCATTCGACTAGCAGGTCGAACAACTGATGTTCTTAAACCCTGCTGACTGCCATTGGCGATTAACAAATAAACGGATCACCAGATGTAACAAAATGGATCTTATAATAGTTTATTACCAAACAGAAAACAATAAACTTGCGGAAAAGATGGTATACCGCAAACATGAGGTGCAAAAATTTGTTCACCATATACGGATTTCGACAATTAATGTCTCCTCAGTGATGTTAGGAATCGAAACGGTATTTGGAAGGTCATATAATTTACCTCAATTTAGGATAGACTCTTGAATTTTGAAAGAGTCGAAATAGGATGAGCGGATCATATAAATCCGAAGGCAAATATAATACAAGCCCAAACGAAAATATATAAACAAGTCTAAATTGAAAACAACGTTCAAACCTATGATTGCGTATATATATATACCATCATATAAGCATTTTTTTTAATCTGACAGGAAACAATAAACCCATCAAGTGTTTTTGTTTTTTTTTTTGTTTTTTTTATATTGTAAAAGACTACTTTAAGAATCAACACATTAAAATGTTAAGATGTATGACAAACCTTGTTTATGCTTTGCTTTTTGAGAGTGTGTGGTAAATTGGTAATTCAAGGGTATTTTGCAAGGACAGGTTTTATATGTTTTCCTTATTCTAGTCAGTTGAAGGACTATATAAAAACCAGAACGTCTCGCGTCAGAATATTTTTTCTTATATTGAGGGTGTCTAACTTGACTGAATATTTGTCTGGATGTACTTGCACGTGCTTGTGTGAAATATTTACAAAACAGCATGAACGTGAAACAATACCTTTGAGCGAAATTTATACGTAGTGCATTTTGCTGTCATGCATGAAACATAAAACATAAATTACCTTAAACATTGCTTTCACTTGTTTTATTTCATCGGCATCTGAGTCGTCTTTATAAATCGTTGAATTACACAAGTTGCCAGCCATCAATGTATCCGTTTGATCAGCGACTTCCCTTGCTATGCGAAGAGCCTCCATGTTTATCCTCTCTAGTTCGTTTTCGCGCCCTATTAGCCGCAATTTCTCTCTGTGACCATAGTACTAAAAAATGCGTGACATTGTTCAAATAAACCTGTTTAAAACATACAATTTGACCTTCTTCCTTTTTTTGTTTGCTCGCAAATAAAATATAATCAGTATTGCAAATGAAAATATACTTTTTATATCAGGGTATACCCTGATATACCCTATCTTTTGTTTTATTTTTCAGGTAATTTATGACGAATAGCGTTTGACGTCTTTAGCCGAACAGTTTTATTTATCATATTCACATAATTCAATTCATTGTGTGCTGGTTCATATTCTGGACGCCAGTCTTTGCTCCTTTCTGATAAAAAAAGTTTCTCGCTGCATTGAAGACCCATTGGTGGCCTTCGGCTGTTGTCTGCTCTATAGTCGGGTTGTTGTCTCTTTGACACATTCCTCATTTCCATTCTCAATTTTATTTCTTATTAATTTGATAAATCACATACACTGTTACGACCAACAGGGGAGTGAAATAATTAAGAAAGGTGAGTTATTGCGGTCATAGTGTTAGAAGTTCTATTTATCTTTGAATGGAATGTTTCAATAGTCTTTGTCTGAGGAGGGAGCCATATAGATACTGATAACCTTGAGTTCGGTACGACAATTCCAAATTTTTGTCTGAAGGGAAAAATACGAAGAAACTTTCAGTCTACTTCAAAGATTAAAAGACAATATACAGAATATACATAATATTAAAATTGAGAATGTATTCTTTTCGGTGTAAAAATTAACAACTTGAAAGTATCATAGATACTGACAACAACGCATCGTGACAGAAAACACAAGTTATTCATGATTTAACATTTATATCATTTAATATAGCTGTTCATATTTCAACTTGGCGGTTTCTGTATTAGTCCTTGTATCGATCAGATGTGTCTGCAACTGTACTAGGTATCGGGACTAATAAAGCTTACCTAACATCTATTCAAGGAGGGTTCATACAGAATAATACTAAAGTATGAACGCACCAAGTTTATATACACATCCTTTTGCTAGTCTTGAGTGCTTCTTCGCATTGCTCATCGAAACCGCCTAGGTGGTTTCGTGGTAGCGTGTTCGTCTCGGTTACGGGAGGTCGTGGGTTCGAACCCCGGCCGGGTCAAACCGACTTAAAAATTGGCATTTGCTACTTCTCAAAAACTAGTAGGCTCGAAGTCGGAATAATGATCAATAATGTGTCCGAGTAAGGTGACATGTCTTCCTGTCTAATTTTACCTTGTGAACTAGCACGTTAAAAATCCAGCTGAGCATGTCGGTCTAGTACAAAACAGGGTTAATATTCATATTACATAAACATGTTCTCGTCCTAAATATGCATATTAACTTGCCACTGAACGTTAAGCAGCCATCCATCATCATCATCATCATCATTGTCCATCGATGTTTTGAATTGTATGTAACAGTATGTATCGAGAAAGAATTACTTCCCTTTATGAAGTGTGAAATGTAATAAACAGAGTGAGTGTAAATTTCGAACAATAAAGGTATAATGTTTGATTTAGTAGACTCGCCGCGAAAAAAGGAAATTTTCAAGTTACACATATTGCAGTACCAAAAAAATACAACTATTTACGTTTGGTGGATTTATCTCTTCTTTTATGTCAGATACTTAAATAAATTATCAGTTTTCTTTCAGACTAAAAGGGCGTTAAAGAAATGAAGGGCGTGTAACGTTTGCGCGCAATTGGACATATAAACTATTTCTATGATTTGTGACATTTAATCGTTTAAATTTTACTTGAAACACGGGTAAAAATGAAGATAATTGGCACAATCTTTCACTTGCAAACATTCACATACATCAAACTTTGAGGCTTGAAACTCAAGCGATTATACGCGAAAAGTGAAAAAGAGCAACCATATTCATTTCAAACTAGTATTTTAAAAACTCGATATAAATTATAACCTGTGTTTACCTATACACTAAATGAATGCAAATGTACTAAAAAAGTAATGAGTATAATGTGCAAATGTAACGATAATGCGCGTAAATTTAATACGCCGAATTTGAATTTAGTAGTTGTCCAATTGAATAAACGCAATATGTGCTTATTCAGAGAGCAGCGGGCCGAGATATTGCCTTGGACTGTTTTACTAGTATAGTTTACTAGGTCATACATGCACCAGTTGACCATATCTTTTGGGCAATCCCTATGTCTGGATTCGGTCCTCTTCACAAAAATAGCTATTCCATGAATGATTGTTGAAACGTATAAACTCAATGATCATATATTTTGTTACATAAGAAGTGTGCCGATCGGGGTTTTGTGCCATAGGATAAAAATATAGAAAAAATATAGAAAAAAAAATACGCTATGTTTATTTTCAATACCTACGGTAAATGCTAAAACTACATCACTCCCTGCATGAACAAACTCCTCGTGCAAAGACTTGACCAATTCTGGATGATCAAGAACTACTTCCGGAACAAAACTACCAGCTTTTAAATATCCTCTTCTTTCAAATTCAAAAATGTATCCCTCAGCAACAACTACGGATTCACCATCCTTCATCCGGTCAAGCAAACCTATGAAATCAATTACAAAATTAATGAATAAAAAAAATTGCAGTTTTATTTTCTTTATATATATAAAGATATATGGCATTGGTTATAGTTTTAAGAAATATCTACATAACATATGTTATCATATCAATTACAAACAGTATAGACGTTTTTTTCATTTTTATAATCAATTGTATTCTTCCGAATTCTAACTTTAAAAAGTGGCGCGTCAATAGTTCACCTTTAAAAAAGTGTCGGGAGTTTATTCTTCTTTGGTGTCTTAAAAAATATTCGGTTAATCTTACTGAAGGACTGCCTTGTCTATCGAGGTCAGGATTATAGAGGACATTACACACAAGAAATGACCCAATAATTGTGACCCGTCATGAACGTCATTGTGAGAAAAACGCCGTTAACTATTATACATTGTACATAAACGTTATATAAAATTTCGTATGGGACATACACGTTTATTTCTTTACCGAATTTATGCTTTGGATGCTTTTTATCTTTGCATATGCAATTTATATAATTTGAAGCTTTAGCTTAATGGGGCATTAGCTGTCAATTTGATGTTCACCGATTTGATTCAAATTCTCATATTTGATTTATTACATACCAAAACGTATATCCAAATTACAAAAAGTCTAAAATAAACAATTAACAATGCGTGGGCTCGATACTATGTATCAACATTTCGTGTTTATTTTTGTATACACGTCATCTTATTAACCATCGAGATGACCTCCGAAGACTGCCGACGGTCATATAACCCGATAAAAATATAAATATAAATATAATTAGATAGCGACCACGTGCAATTGGATTTGTCTAGGTCTGATTTCATATTGTAGAATTTAAAGTATATTTGTCATCGTTTTATGAGCGTCGTAAAGGGGTACCTTCATGACGAATAACGGTAAAAAAATCTTGCCAAATGACGTTAACGGTAATTTTTGGTGCATGACGATAAAATGTACATTTTCTTTAAGAGGATAAACAAATCGAATGAGTTTGACGAATCACGCTAAATTCTTTCAAAAAATAACGGTAACGGATAATTATTTGAGACCTCTGACGAATCACGATAATGATATTTTGACGAATCACGATAAGGATATTTTGACGAATCACGTTAAAATTTTAACCAATTTGACGCTAACGGTAGCCGAAAATGACCGTTTGACGCCTGACGGTAAATGACATTCCTACCCTCTTTTATACCTGATCTTACCTGTATAAGAATGATTTTTGTGGATCGATTTAGTCAACCAAATGGTTCATCCTTGTTTCACTTTCAGTGTTGACATTCTTTTCCTTTTAATAGCTGAAAACATGTGTAACCCATGTCCAATTAAGGGGTTAAATTGAAGGTCACATGAATACGGATTCAAAAAATTGTATTTATTTTTTTTTTTTTATATCTCGTAGCTAATGCCCCCTAAGCGAGCGAACTAATCATAAACGTCAAAAAAGAAGGGCCATTCTGTATATTTTAGCATATAAAATCTCTGTTTCAAAAACATTTTTTTTTCTTCCGTATGCTTTGGTGCATTGTACATCACATATTTTAATCAGTATTTTGTATACGCAAACATTCTTATAACCAATGCAACCTAACCATGTATTCAATATAACATGTATATATATATTTATTAAAGTTATTGGCCACATGATGTAGTCACAGACAAGAAGATCTATCATGTCAAAATTGTGATACAACATATGCGGGAATTGAACACAAGAATTTTACAGAATAAGCATATTTCTTACTGAATATAGAGAAAAATGGCCAAAACAATTACCGAATACAAAAATGTATACCCCCTGCCCTAATCCAGACCGTCATATATCATTGTGACGGATAGTTTTGTTTGGTCTATTTATCTGTTTTTATTTTCGAAAAGAATTTTGTACAAGGTGTTGTTAATAAATGTAACTGACAATGTATATACCATACCCTCTCAGCCGACGTCGTAATTTCATTTTAATGAAAGAAAGTAATTAAAACTAGCTTCTCTCTCTATGCAATATGATGTAAAACTCATTAGGCACTACTTGCATAATTGTTAACTCGTATTAAATTCGGTATCAAATGTATATTAATAATAAAAGTTCGTGTCATATCTTGAATATTGAAACGGGTTAAAATTATTTACTTGCATTGATATTTATATAAATAACATCCGGTTCGTTGTTTTCTTCTTCTAGATTTTAGATAAAAGCAACTTTGTTACACTTTATACACAATTTATTAATAAAAATTGATACATGGTGTCTTCTTATGTCGTCTGAATTGCATTGTATGTTTACTTATTGATCTGTAAGTTATATATCCGCCATCCGTAATAATTATCTAATATGTTTATTTGGCATGCCATACTCGATAAAAGTGCGGACGTGATAGAAAGCACTCTTTACCAAAACGTCAACGGAGATTCCACGGAGGTTACATTTCGATGATTTCGTCATTTATAAAACATTATATATATGATTATCTGAAGATAGAAGTTGTACTTAAATTAAATGATGACACCGACATCGATCTGTTGGATGTAGAATTTATTTTCAAAGTTGGTGTTTGTTAAGAATAGACCATTCCACGGAGATTACATGCTTAACAAATCTCGGCAGTTTTCAACTTTGTTTAGTTTTTCAGACTGATATGATTTGGAATAAATGACCATTGTTATAAACAAAATTATTTGTGGTAACCTTATAATCAAATTTAACTCATAACCCGCACTTAAGGCCATTTTTTATTTTATTTTTTTGTAGACTTAGTTTTTTTTTTTTTTATTACTGTGTATTGTCAAGCTTGGTTACTCATAATTGTTTCTCAGTCACTGAATGTACGATGTTGTTCCATACTGGAGCAGCTGACTCGATTTGTTTACATTCAAATTCTAATGGCTTCAAAACCATGTGACACATTGAATCGTTACATCCAATCAAATTGCTCTACTGTCAATTAGGTGATTTTTTTTTTAGTACAAGGCAATTATATTATTTGTTTGTATGATATTGCTTTGAAATAGTTTGCAATAAATTGGTGGTTTATTCAATAGCAAACCTCATTACTGGCCATGAAATTTGACATCAATGGAATTTTATATGAATATTTACTTATGGTCAGAATATCGATCTCTTTATATTGGACCAATTTTTTTTTTATGAAAAATATCCCCGAGGAACCAGTAATGACGCACCTAAGGTTGTTTTGTCTCTGCATTTAATCTACCATTTAAAAGAATTAGAAAAACGGAATGGAATAAAAGATTGGTAACTTGTTATTATATTTCAATCATTAAACAGTTGATATTTGAAACAGTAATAGCAATAAAATTCATGCTTGCTAACATTACAAACGGACTGCCAACTAATGATGGGTACCAGTAATGACGCACTGTAAACAAACCAGTAAAAACCACTTGCACGTAACTGATAATCGAAAAATTGCTTCAATCCGGATTCTTTAAAATTAAAACTGTTCAACAGATTCAATTTTATTAACAACTTTTGATATTTTCATTCAATTTAATGATCATGATGATTGTAACACCAAATTTTTAATCAATTTAAATGTAACCTATATTTTGGTATATAATTGTTCAAAATTTATGAAAGTGATATACATATTCCATATATTTGAAAACAAAAAGTAATTGCATTCATAAAACAACATTGACAATAATACATTTATCAATGTATACTTCATACATTGAATGAAAAAAAATCGATAAACCATAGAAAATTATATAAGCGACGATCATTTGTTCTACAGTGATTCCCGCTTAAATGTAAAACCATGTCACATGACAGTCACGTGATTTGAAAAACACAAAATGGGGAAGCATACGGTTACATACTTTTCTTGACCAAAGTGGAGATAGGACTGATAATCTTTCGGGGAAGGGTAGAATTTTTTTGACCTTAATAAAATGGCGGAAATTGCATTGTCTTTAATATTTTAAGCAATAATAACATTTCTGGGCAGAGTTTTAGGCATCTTTGTTGTAGTCAGATGACCATCAACATCATGTTATGAACAGCAAATGTTGATGACATCACGGTTTTGTTTAGAAATATAAAACCGTTAACTAAATCGGTGCGTCATTTCTGGTCCGCGTCAAAACAGGTACCAATGGCCATTAGAAAATCTGCATTTTTGTACAAAACTTAAGAATAATAATGAAAACATATCTTTAGAAATATCATTTTATTTAGAAGTGTAGAAAAAATGTATTCTGCACTAATATTTCATACGCTGGTATTAGCGTAGTGACGTCAATGCGGAGTTTTCCCGTATGATAAGTACAATAACAAAATCCGAACGAACCAACGTTATGACCGATTATAGACTACGGTAGGATATCACACTCTATGTTGTGCTAACTATTTTGTCCGGCTCGGTATTTTATCCGTTAACGGAAATTACAGGTTTACGAAGAAAACGTTTCGATGGCCGGTACGATTACTATTGTTGTGCAATATGTACTAAACTTTATACAAATTAGAAATAAAGAAATCTAAAAATCTCAGATATAAGTATAACAAGTTACAGGTATATATCGGTCATTTTCAAAAAATGTCGAATTTTCAGTACACCCATGCTAAAATTTGTATTTCTAATGGAAATTTCAGTTGTAATGGTTTAAATGAAAGCTTGTCGGATTTATGATTTAGAACATCGATAATAAACACGATTTACATCTATTTTGATAAGATTAAGTTATAGATATTTCATATCTTTTGGATAGTTTTGCGGTGTTTCGTAAATTATACCATAGCTTTTGTTGAAACCCCCCGGCAATAACCTCACGAGACGAAGTCGAGTGAGGTTGCCGAGGGGTTTCAACAAAAAACTATGGTATAATTTACGAAACAACGCAAAACTATCCAAAAAATATGGAATATCTGTTTTAACCTATCGCATCTTTTGCTGTTTAAAATTGTATATTTCATATATGTTTGTTTGTTTACTTTAAAAATAGTTTTGATAAGAATCAGTTAAATAACCCTTTTCGGGCC